TAGCTCGGATTTGGAAAAATTGCAGTTTCAAAATTTTGCCATTGGAACGACGATATGGTCATATTTTGTTATCTTTAATATATTTAGAGTACAAGTAGGTATGTTGTAATTTAAGAAATTGGGATCGTGATATGCATTGCGTTTCGATGTAAAATACTATAATTTTCATCGCCTCGAAATATTTTTATTTGGTTGGATTCTCGAATAAAGAGTGCACAGGTGGTTTACCATCATTTCACTAATAAACGTCGAATATGTCCCTTGTGGTTCCGTCATGCGAGCGTTCAAGTTCAGATTTCGTGTTTGATGGACGTTATTTTTTTTTTTTGCACCAATCTCACAGTAAACAACAGTTTTCCTCAACGACGGATGTTAACGTACAGATCGTGTGGTTAATATTAAATGGACGTAGTTCGTGTGATTTTTTTGCGTGTATTCCACTGCTACCATAATTACCATTCTCTTCCAATTATTAGGTGTTCCACTATTTTATTCGAATAAATTAGTAAAATAGCCTCAATTCAAAATACGACTTTGTTCTTCTTTTTTTTAAAAAATGTCTGCGAATGTTGAAGAACTGGGACAAATATTAATTTCCATTAACCAAATCAACCAATTAACGAAAAATAGTGGTTTCCTGATTGGTGCACACAATATTAATGACCAGACCGCGGATGCGTACGTAAATATCGATTTTTGTGGACTAATTTGCAAAGATTGGAATCCAATAGCAACTAAATAATCCCAATAAGGCTTCTAAATCTTTAACTCTGCTGATTTTTAGACAGTCGTGTATACAATGTGTGAATCGAAAATAAAAAGAGTACGAATTATTCCTCTTTTTCTATGAATTATAACAAGAACAAAGTGTTGCGTCTCCGAATGAGGCAACGCGTTCGTCCACGTAGAAGGAAGCTGGATGCAGGCACGAAGACTTTAAAGGCGACGGTCGGCGTAGTTGTTCAAAGCTTGCCCGAGCAAATCTAATTAAACCTTTCTCAGTACTCTAAACGCTCGAGTCATTTGAGACTCAAACGGAGAACAAGAAGACCGCTCGGTTCGTTTTCTTTTGGGTTAAGGAAAAGTCGATGAAAAGTCAACCGAAGGTGGAGCGGACTCACCGTTTTCCTCTTTGAATTCGTTTAAAATCGCAAGAAGATGGCCGCGGCAATCCTTCGGTTGGCGCGAGGGAAAATTAATTCTTTAAATAAATCTCACCTTCAACCTTAAGCTTGCCTGTAAACAACAGCATCGAGGATCGGTCGGTTTCACGGAAGAAATCGATGATAGCGTTTGCAAGGTAGGAAACACGTAGAAAAATACCAACAAATAGTTTGGTCTAGATTTGCTCGCAATAGACTACGTTGTTACGATAATTAAAAGATTAGTTACTGAAGGGACTTCGTTGTTCGATAATTTAAATATCCAGCTGTGTATATTTACAGGACGATGATAATATTTGAATATAATTTGAAAGAAATAAAATTTCTGGGTGACTAAAGCTACTCATAGAACGAAGGATTCATATTCAGGGAAGATATTCGGACCGTATACAATTCAAACAATCGATAGAACTTTGAAATTAGAGGCTAATCAATTGGTTTTATGGAAGAAATCGATAATGTCTGTTGGGTTTATGTTGGGTCGTAATAGACTATACTGTTAGGGTAACTAGAGGATCAGTTACGGAAGGAACTTCATTGTAACTTTGAAACTGATGGGACTTCATTGAATAGTCATTATAACAATGAAAACGTCCGGGTGACTAAAGCTACTGGAATAAAGGGATTCATGTTCAGGGAAGATATTTGGATCGTACAATTCAAACAATCGATAGAACATCAATATAAGGTGGCTAATGAATCACTAAATGTTTTCTAGTGGATTCCCGCTACCAATTCCTCTTATATTAAATTCTTTGCTTCGAGCTTAAAAATTAAGCTTCTTAAGGCCCTCGGTGAAACCATACGTATTCACTTTTCATTACCTAACAGAAATAACTGGACGAATTTTATTTATTTTTCTGAGTCGCACCGTTTCACCGTACGCGTTAATCGAGAACAATAATCACCGTTTATTGTCTGGTCCGTCTCTGTTAGCGGAGGGAACTTCGCTGGGCAATTTGTGACCGTGTTGCCGGCCAATTAAATCTTGCTCATTCGAGGCTTTAACGACACGCTTTGTTGGGGACTGATGTGAGAAACGATCTGATTGAGAACGTCACGCGAACGGTTTCCTTTTTGTGTCTGAATTAAAAGCGTTGGCTGGTTAATTGTTATTTAGATGAACGACCAAGGTTCTTTATCGTTACTCGAGACGAAGGGTGACATGAAGCGAGCTGTGCTGTTAACCATTGTACGGAGAATGGTAACAGATTTGTAACATTTTCTTTTATGACAATCAAGTTTTGTTTTGTTTATTCAGAATTTTTTATTTTGTACTGGTTGTGGTGGCTGTTTGAGAAATTTATTTATTCGAGTTAAAGATTCCACTGGAACGATCTAGTCCACTGGTGAGATTCTTTACATCAGTGATGTCCAAACTAAATTGGAGGTTAAGAAGGCTTAAGATTAGTCCACTTTGGAATCTAGATCAGTTCATACTCGTTATTGAATAAATGTTTCTGACGCAAGGTGTGAGAGTAAAATGGAATAATTAATCGTCTACAGCAGTGATGTCGAAACCGAACTCTGAAGGTTGAGCTCATTCTCCCTTCTTCGACAATGGTGAGGTAATAAACTTAGCAGGACTATAAACGGAAACTCCTTTTCTGAGCTGGGCTCAACTAGTGGCTCGTCTTCAGAATTTATAAAATTTCCAGCACTGATATAAAAGTGAAATTAATTAAAGATGCTTTGCTCAGTCCTGTGCAAGATCTGGGATATCTGTCAGTTGCAACTGCCACTTTGTTCACTGCCGAATCAGAAACCACTGTTTTATGGGTCTGTTGAATATACCACAGTTACTCATTCTATCGTTTCAATCGACTATTACAAGTTGTTGACTACTGGTAGGTTAAACGATGTCTGGCCAATACAATCATCTTCCACTTGTTTTACGATTCGTGGAAGAGTCACTACACGTGTAGTAGTCTAGCTAACAAGGGGAAGGCACGTGTGTGGAAATCACCTTTGGAACGACACTAGATGCAAATCTTATATAATCGAACTAGTAGACGCATAGAAAACTTTGAATCGAATTATCTCAGAAATGACGGTTTATTCTGACAAACCCTATTAGGATCTTGTAACACTAGATTGTACTATTACTTATACTTAGGTATCAAGACTAGTGTCGTTTCAAAAGACTGGAACGTTTGATTGGAATTCTGATAAACCCTATTAGGGTTTTGTAACATTAAATGTGTACTGTACTATTTGCACCCAGTGTTCTAAAGTGACTTCCACTACTGAGGTCAACAAAAATCCTCGAGGAAGCAGTTATTAAAGGTAATGGATAATTATAGGAGATGATATAAAATTAAAGGGAAAATTATTTTAGAACAGAGCTCGGAAAAAGAAATATTTCCACCAGTTTGGAACTGTTTTCTGCAAATGTCTCCTTTATCAAGCACGTAGAAAACCTTTTCAGTATGTACTGGACATACACACGGAAAAACGACGCGAATCAAAAAAGCGTTCTTGGTCCTTTGAGACCTCTAAAGCTCAAAGTTCAATTCGCGGATAGGAAACACGACGCGAATCAATATCCTCCACGTCAATTTTAGTAGTGGATTCAGTTGAACAGGGGAAAGATGGCAATTTCCATCGTAAAATTGAGTTCACTGCGATTCGCTTTGCAAGGAATCTTGCGCAATGAAACCAGCAGTGCTTGGGAACGGAAAAAACTCTGCTAAAATTGCACGGTTACGAGTAATTACTCCCGAGATACGTCCTATAAGTGGAAGCAACCCCTGGATAGCTTAATCTGTCGCATTTATTCGATGAAGAAAAACGATTTACCTTTCCAATTTCGTTTTATTCCTGAATTTCGTTTTACGATTCGATGGCTAGAAGCTGTTGGGTGTCTGTAAGTTCAATTTCCGTTCTTACGAAAGTTGTAGCCTGTACGATTTCTTTATAAAAATTGACGGTGGAAAGCATAGACGGATGTATTTAAATATAATGACTGCACGAATATTATAATGAAAATTTATGAAGATTTGTGGTGTCGTTTTTGAACCGGAATAATTGATGTTATTGTTAACGAATAATTATGTTTTAAAATAACGTTGTTTTGCCACCAACCTAACAAATTGCTTTCTGTCGAATCAATGAAACTTGTTTTCTTATGAAGTTAGTTGAGCCATGTTCACCGAGAACGTACGAATACGCGTGCTAGGTCGATGTGTTTAACAAATCTGCTAATATATTCGTGAAACACCTGGGATTTTCGAACGCATAAGATCAATAATCAGACGTCCAGAGGAGCGCATTGACGAACGACGGTCTTGATCACCGATTTTAATGTTGGTAAGCAAATAGAGGTTGATTAGTCGCTGAAAATTTTATATCTTCTACTATTTAAAACCAACAGTTTTTTATCGCCAATATTCGAAGGTCATATAAATCGGTCGATGAAATTTCTGTGCATATTAAATCTTCCTAAAACATGTTCCTTTAGTCAGAAACTTCCTTAGTCGAACGGTATGGACGTGACATGGAAAATTCATGGAGTACTTAATCCCAAGTTTTTAATACAAGTCCTTAATAAATAGTGTATTAACCCATAGAGTAGAGTCATTTGAATCGTTACAAAATAATTTTTAATACGTACTTATCTAGAAGCTATAGGAGTTCGAACAGATACCCCTCAACTTCAATACAGCGATTTCAATACATTATTTTGTAAATATCTCGTTAACTGTTAGGTTTCGGACGTATAAAGGAGAACTGTAATGGACTACTGTAATGGACAGGAAAGGTTGCCGCGGTTGTTTCTTCCGAGCAAACTACGGTTCCGTTTACGCAGGTATTAACGATTGTTTCTTTTCCCCGCAGGTGTAGCCATGAATAATTCACTCGGTTAAGAGGCAGAATTTTGTCCGACTTTGAGACCTCCAGCGACACGAGAGCAACAGCGCCAAGATGGGCGAGATCCACGGGTCGGCGAGCTTCCTCCACCTGGGCGACATCGTCAGCCTCTATGCGGAGGGCAGCGTCTCGGGATTTCTTTCTACCCTCGGGTAAGTGGAATTATTCATTAAATTCTTCTAACTAGCTTCACCGCCATCATCGCAAACTCGACGAACCACCGATGCTCCATTATTCCGCGGCATTGAATGCGAAGAACAATTCTTCGGAGCCATTTTTTAATCGTGGCGGGAAAGTTTTTTTTTTCTCGTCGAGAAACTGGGAACACGCCAGAATAATTAACGATAACGGAATTAAGGCTGGGTGGAATTTTTATTGCACTTAGAATTTGGGAAAAGAGAGGTTCTTTTTTACTTGGTTATTTATTTAAGGTCACATTCACCTCGTTGGTAGTGGAAAATATTTCAGATTGTAAGAATTTATGGTCGAAATCATGGTTTAGTAAGTTTTTCACCTTATTTTTAACAATTTAGAATGTTTGAGAATAATTAACGATAACGGAATTAATGCTAGGTGGAATTTTTATTGCACTTCGAATTTGGAAAAAGGGGGGTTCTGTTTTTAGTGTCTGTAATTTATTAGGTGTACCAAATAAATAATCCACTATTTCTTGACAAAGTTGGTATACGATTCTATAGAAATCAAGGATCGAGAAGTGACTTTTAACTTAAAACGTATCACCTTGCAATTTAAAAAAACAGTGGATTACTTAATGGTACACCTAATGATCGTTAAACAAATGTCTTCCGGTATCTAGCAGCACAAATAAATCCCGGCAGTATCATTGACCGTGTAAGAAAACGCCAAAAGATTTTCGACACCGCCTCGAGTGTTCACCTAATCCTAATATCGCGTTTCGAATTGTTTCCTATAATACCTGCGGAACGATTAGATATTCCGTGCAAACAATGCTATCTCCTCTGACTTTGAAATCCTTCGCACAGTATACTCCATACAGTATCCCAAACATGTTTCGGAGCATATGGAATTTTCTTCGAGACACATCTGTCGACATAACACGTTTTTACGTGTCTCGTGATTCTTAGACGTCATTCATTACTCGAACACCTCAGCCAGTCTATTCTTATGGCAATCGTGCGCGCAACTTTTCCGTCGTTGGGGACCGGTTTCACGTAAAAAGTCCAGGTTGTGGCCGCGTGCAATAGCGACAGGTGTTTGCATACGTAATCCCCTGGTCTTAAAAGAACGCGTTCCCCGGCGAAGGAAAACACACAAGGAATTAATGTAAACGATCTTACATTCGACTGCTACATTACATCATCATATATGTTGTTCCTCGAGAGGATATGGTGGTAGTGCTTTGATACTTTACTTGCGGTTGTTCGATACTACAGTAGACTCGCGTTAAAGTAACAGTAGGAACGCCCCAGCTCACACGCATTATTCATACACGTACGCGCACCCCACTGTTGGTCACCATCTGTAACGAAAGTCCTAATCTAATTGATGGATCGACCGAACTGCCACGAGATCCTGCGTGCCCATTGGCTCACGTTAAAGTGTAGCGTTTCCAGGAAAAACCCGCCTCGAGAGCCCCGCACCGCTACTTTAACGCGAGTCTACTGTACTTCGACGATAGGCGAGGCGGGTATATTGTGTTACCCGCTTTACTCTTCAGATCTCTGACCCTCGAGCTTCTTATTATTTCAGAAGAGTGAAATTCCGTTCAAAGGGTCGCTTCTTTGGTAATGTAAGCGAGGTACAAAGAACGAGGACAATAGAAATAAGGGTGATCTTGTTAAGCCAGTTTTAGAGGAGGTTTGAAAGATCTGGACGTTGTATCGTGTTCATTGACAGAGGTGATGACTGTATTGAGTTTTAAGTTAAAATACGGCAGAATGTTGATTATCCGTCATAAATGTTTTATGAAAGAATTATGTTCGAAATGATAAGCGAAACACGGGAAGATATACGATGTCTTAAATGAGCTTGAGGTGAATTATGCAATGCTTTAATTGACAGTACATTATACTGGATTTGAAAATAGTAATTGTAACGATACTAGAAAGTAAATAGAAATACACAATAAAATTGTGTTGCTTCACCTATTTTTTAAATGTAGAACGGTTTGTCCCAAAAATTTTCGAATTGAAGTTAAAAGAGTCATTTTTTCGTATGATATTTTTTGCGACCTAATGCAGGTCTGTCTTAGGTCGTCAATAGGGTCAGCAAACCGTCATAAACGGGGATTTCTAGACAGCTGCACATAACGTGCAAAACATTTACTGTCCTAAAACCATTTTTTTTATTTGTGCTTCGGTCCTGACTTCCAGGAATCCCAGAAACAATACCTACACCAAGCTCCACTTCTTTCACTTTATACTAGCACTTCTTCCTCTTTATACTACCACTTTTTCCAAAACATACACAAACCAAAATCCTACATTGTCCACCAATCACAAGTCCATCCGTTTCAACAAAGCGTCTAGGCATTCAATTATCCACCAGAACACATTCAACCGTCAAAAGGAGCATATCTCTCATTCAGAATAAACACAACTAGTACACAAACATATACATACGGCACATTATTGCACTTGTTTATATTAAAGTTTAAGTGTGTTATGAAATAGTGTTAAATTATTCCGATCGTACGGTATCATCATACAACATCACACCATTTTTCCAACGAACTCTGCGGTATTAATTTACCAACGAACAGTGGCAAATCGTGAGTACGCCGCATTAATATTCACGGTTTATCAGCAATTATTGAAAGTAGTTTCCTTCTCAAGTGACATATCATTTATGATAATTATACAATCACTGAAAATAGTGCTGGTAATTCTTGTTGGAGATGGCGGAAAAAGTAGTCGTCGAAGCTCTGTGAATGTGAAAATGATTTTTGATTGTCGTTTCTTTGTATTAGTTACCAACTTGGGTGACAGGAATTAGTTCGACGTAGTTGAATTAGATGGATACGGTGGATAAACAAACTGTGAGATACCTTTTGTGACCAAAATGTTGTGTAAATTCATGACTCGTGAAGCCACAAGTTCTGACTGCCATTCTTTCCACCATCGTGAAGAAGAATTCTCAGCGCAATCTCCAAACTTTCTATAATTATTGTGAACAGTATATTTCTTTAACAGAAAACTATTTTTAATATTTGATTATGAAGAATATCATTTCACAAACAACTGCTGTTTTAACTTCAATTTGGAGACTTTCGGGACAGACCGTGTATAAAGAAATAATTGAACCAAGTACACATAGTAACCCATTACAGTGCGAGGCTAAAAAGTCGCTATGCGCTGCTCGAATATTTATTCGAGACATGCAATTTTCCATGCAATAAATATCTTATCGGAAACAGTCTATAGTCACTTCTCAGGATAGCAGGAAAGTAGAGTAATACAGTAATGATCCAAACAATCGGTGTAGAATTTCATGGAAAAATACTTATGTACATATATTTTTCACAGCAAGAATTTACACACATACAGGGTGTATCAGGTAGGTTATCACAATCGTTCAGAAAGTGATTCTATAAGAAAAAATAAGTCGAAAAAAAAAGAATAACTTTTCTTTATTTGAAGTTTTGTCCTCAAGAAAATTGGGTTTGAGAATTCATCCACACCTCGTGAACTTCTGCTGACAATAAGTAGAAACGGCCTGCACTGATCAGACGTGTTCCACAAATTCCATTCTATTGTCCAAGTATCCAACAAATTTTAAATGACGGAACATTTACTTACATTACAATAAACGGAAACATTTTACTCTTTTCTTTTCGATTTATTTTTTCTCTTATAAAATCGCAACATCGACACAGTAATAAAACCAAAAAATCGATAGCCTCTTAAAATTCTTCAGTAGTTCTCGAATGTTCCATCTTGGGTTGAGTATAAAACTTTTCCTCGATCTCGAGGAAAGGCGTCAGTTCTGTTTACCAGCCGATTATTTTGCTGTCCCCGATAATGGCTTAAAGATACACACATTAACGTCAGTGGCAGATACCCTTTGAGAAGTCTGCGCGCGGCCCCGAGTACGCGATTGACGGGGTCGATTACAAAGAGATCGCCTTATTACCCGTCCGTATCGACGTCCTATCTTTACGTTACCTGAAAGCATCAACGCGCGAATAATACGCGCGCGCAAAGAATAGCAAGCGCGACGCTGGATACTCGAACCGTTGGGCAGGGTTAGAAGGGAGGGGGGGTGGCGTGTGTGTGTGCAGATATATTCAACGGAAACAGGTGCCGTAGGCAGGTCGGGAGTTATTCATAAGCCGATTACTAACTTTCCCGAAGGCGTCGCGCCGACAAACGTTTCGTCGAACTTGTTTTCCAGTTAGAGTCAGCTGAAAACGACTGGTTTCTGTGTAGCGCTAATTATTAGGCGTACAAATTAATTCGTGGCCTTCTTTTCATGGATTTGTAGTTTATTCACGGAGAACCAAAGTACAGTCTTGTCTTGAAAATATTCCCCTTCACTTTCTAATTATGGATACATATTTACGCTATTTCTTGGACAATTGGCGAATCCAATCTCGGAAAAATGATAGCGGTTTGGAGTCAGTAATGTATCGTGGGGCCCACGAAGGTGTCAATTATTGTCAATTATTTGAAATTAATTTTGTTGTATTCTTTATAAGATTATAGATCACCGGAATTATAATTAATCGAAAATTTTAATTGGCTGCTTTCCGGAATAAACGAGTGACTGAAATTCAAAGTATCAATTGTTAACTTCCTTCGTTAGAACATAGTTCATAATTCATCAGGCTGAATTTCCTGACACAGTTCTTAAATACAAAACAATTATATTCTACGATCTATTTTCACATTATTTTTTATCGACCCTAACCATCGAATAACAGATTAGAAAAAAAAACATAACACCGAACGCTGGATCACTTTTAGATCAAGCTGTGCGTTCGTCGACTTTATCGAGCGTTTATCTACAGAGTGCGAAACATGGTAAATTTGAATGTGATACGAATTATTTTTGACTCTATTGCGTCACGGACCCACACACTCTGTTCATTCAAGCGAAACTATTTTTTTTCTTTTCGCCAGTCTCGTCGGATATAACGATTCAAAGATTTCTGTTTGTGTGTGTGTGTGTG